TTGATTGGGCATAGAAACAGAGCATCAACCCATCCTCCCCCGCCCCATTCCATTCCTCATTCAGCATCATCAACCTCAGTCGTAAGATCTAATTATTTTGTTTTTGTCTCTAGCGTCCCGTGCAATGCATGACCTGTAGTTTCTACCCTGTATTACATAATTTCATCCCGCTCTCTCGTCTTAGCTCACCACCTTCATTTAAACTGCTCATCTCTCGATCATTGTCCATTTGACCTTTGTGTTCTCAACCCCACTCACGATTATCATTAGCCTCGTCATATTCGTTTGATCTATTTGCTCGCCCCTGCCATCGTTACTAACTGAGCTCTAATCGGCCAATCAGACATCTGTATTATGATCACCTTATATATGTAAACGCCCGATGCGATGCGTCGAAAAGAAATTTCTTCGCGAATACCGTTTCTTTCAAAGAGTGAATTTATCACAAACGTGCAGATGTTTTCACCATTTATGAAGGATATCAGATCAATCGACATGGTGCCAAGTAGGTGGTTGTGAAATCATTGAACACTCGCATACAACCTTAAAGCAATGACATTCAAATTTTTTTAATGACAGAACCAAGGAAAATAAACATTGCCCAGGCACATAATGATTAAGAATATCTTAAAAAGTTGCAGATACGACGCATTCTCAACATATTTTATTATTCCTGGTAGTGATAGGCTTACGTATGACTCTTGTGTCTGCATCATCCCTAAACGACATTTCGTTCACAAACTAACACACATTTTGGGATAACTGATACAATCCGCGCTTTTTGTCGTTGGAATATTTCGTTCCATGTGCTCTGTTCACCATGCACGCCATTCTGACTGCATACGGTTGCTTAATGGTTCCAGATCATATAACTGTCGCTTATCTTGTTTTATTGCCTGTGTGAATTGAAAGGCCTGATTCGGCCGCTTAAAGATCGGTCGAATAATTACGAACTTCTCTTTGTTTGCTACCCTATACCGCTTGTGTTGCCCCCTGAGGCTAGTCCTGTTGTGCTCAAAAATACTGTAACTCACGGCCTCTGTTTTCGATGCATGCATTGCATGCTGTACAAAGATTTATATTCTTTTGTGTCGGAAAAC